TATATATATATATATATATATATATATATATATATATATATTATTGTCACACCATTATTATTGTGTGACAATAATTATTTGTGTGTAACACACACACACGTGTTACACACAAATAATTATGTGTGTGTCTGTGGAAATAAGACAAGCACCATAACAATACTACATTTTCTTATTGATAGACTAATATAATTTTGCGGCTCGGCCCATTAGCTCCACCATGCAAATATCCACCTGCAGCACATGGATGCAAATCCAAATCTCTTACTGAGAAATCACAACCTGGAAATCAGTCAACGTTGGCTGAAAATAATGTGCCACTCCCGTGTATGTGGACCTCCGCACCACTCAGGAGCTCTTGACGCGCATGCTCACTAAGCACAGGGTCCCTCACCTGAGAGGCGTGGTCAGCTGCGTCTCACAGCCTGGAGAACTGATGTTAGCTGCAACACCTGCCCCGTTAAATGATGCTCTACCGACCTGTGACTATAACCAGCCGGTAGCTTGTCCGGATGAGGAAACTACTAAACGTGGACGTCTCAGATCACTGTGTTCTCCATCTCCCTTGGCTTAACCAGCGACAGAACCCTCACTTGTAAGTAATCATGAAACTCACCTCTCATCAATTGCAGAAAATAATATTTGTTCTGTAATTTACCACCTGTAAAAATGTATGACTAACAACAGATGTTAAAAGGGGTTACATAACTATGCTGCCTTGTAGAAATATCAGCCTCAAAAGTCTGATATTTGTCTTGTGTTTAAATGTAGAAAACAAGACTACATTCACTATAATAAAGAAAGATTACTCCTGAGGTAACATTCCATACTGTGTTCAAGCTGTGGGCAAAATATCACAGAAGACACAAAAGAATAATCCACTTCATGTAATCTCACACGTCCCACAGTGACTCTATAGGGGCTGTGTGCCTATCAACAAGTATACATGATGCTCTGAGTGTGCAGACACGAACAGATAATAATCCCCACTGCACTGTCACTAAGGAGACAGAAACTCCAGAGATTTGACTGCACTTTACAAATCCCATTAAAAAAAGAAGAACTCATGTTACTGCAATGTGTTGCTTTTAGAGAGAGGGTAGATGGTTGTACTCCATTGAATTTGTTTCTGCTTATTTTACTTCTATCATCATTCTATAAAACACTTTTATTATTTCCGTGTGTGTGTGCAGGTGTGTTTCTATTGACGCCCGCCACTAGCGATGGGAAAATGCTGCAAGTGCAACAGCAGATTGCTGTGCATGTGTCTGCTACCTTGTATGATGACCGGCCACCTTCTGATCTACATCATGGTGTCCATCTTCATCACCATCTCCTACGCTCCTCCGAAAATAACAGTTCACTACGTTGCCCCGGGGATTTCTGCTAATTCCTCAGCTCTGGCTTCTCGCCCACTTGGCCCATTCTGGAACCTGCGTTTGGAAGACGGCGCGCTTTGGAACAGATTGCAGCACGCTCTGGACCGTCAACACAATCCGATACTAAGAGGAAACACAACTGGGATAATGAGGAAGCCGAAAGTGCAGCTTTTAACGGAAATCGAGGATGAATGCCTTTCTGACTGCATGTCCCACAAGTGCTCAGTCCCTCGCGTGCATGATATGGATAGTTTGTCAGAACAAATGAGGGCATTTATCAAGTCAATGCACTGCAGGAAATACCCCCTCCTCATCAATCAGCCTGGTATGTGTAGGAGGGGGAACCACAGCTTTGGAGTGGACTCTCCCATGCTCCTCATGGCCATCAAATCTCAAGTGGGGAATTTTGAAAACAGGCAGGCCATCCGTGAAACATGGGGGCGAAGTGGCATGGTGAGGGGGCAATCGAATAAGAAAGGGGGACTTGTGCAGACAGTTTTTCTGCTTGGAAGGCAGGACTCAAGTACAGGTCCACATCCAGACCTCAACAACCTCCTTGAGCTTGAGAACCAGAGGTACGGGGATATTCTACAGTGGGATTTCAGAGACACTTTCTTTAATTTGACCCTAAAGGACCTCCTGCTGTGGCAGTGGCTCCAGCAGTACTGCCCCACGGCCAGCTTCATCTTTAAAGGGGACGATGATGTCTTTGTTCGAACAGATGCACTTCTGGATTACCTGCACACGACGATGGAGGAGCACAGTCTTTGGACAGGCTTCAGGAATGGAACAGAGATGGATTTGTTTGTTGGGGACGTGATCAGCAACGCCATGCCAAACCGAGAGCCGTCAACCAAATACTACATCCCAGAAAGTTTCTACAAAGGAGCATACCCTTCTTACGCTGGTGGAGGAGGGGTGGTGTATTCCGGATCACTCGCGTTACGCTTGAGAGATGTCTCTGAGAGGGTTCATCTTTTCCCAATCGACGATGTGTACCTTGGTATGTGCCTGCACAGACTTGGGCTCTCTCCAAGCCATCACCCGGGATTTTTAACATTTGATCTCCCAGTTACGGACCGGGAAAATCCCTGCGCATACAGATCTGTTCTGCTTGTTCACAAGCGAAACCCCAAGGAGATGTTGACTCTATGGAAACGGCTTCAGAATCTGCACGGTCAATGTTGAGCCTCATTTACCAACCAAATAAGATGCAGAGATTATGGGATGAATGCTGTCACCACACTCGTGTGGAAAATGTACACACGAGGACCTCATCCTCGTGATGAGTACGCAGTACCCAGTTAATGTCAAGTATAATGCAAATTGCTTCTGGAGAGTTATGCAGCTCTTGAGAGGACACCGATCTACCTCAAAAGGTACTTTTACTATGATAGCATTATAGGCTAAGGATACATGTCTGGTGTACTTTTTAAATTACTACTTGTGCCTGTGTGCTCTTAACATTAAAGATTTATTTTACTATTGAATATTCTGACACCTATGTGTGATTGCAATACTTTCAAATGTATATAATGCAGCAGCTTGTGAACATTAAGAGAGTGGCATGTTGGTGTGTTCATTTGAAGAGGTTTTTAGAGTAAGAGAGTCATACATTTAATAGCCTCAAAGTGTAGACAAAACACGAAACTGAAAAACTTATTCAAAGAACTACTCTCAAATGATTACATTTGGCTTGTCTGCAGTGTGACCATTGACAGCTGGTAAACTAGTCATCGTTCCCCTTGGCACATTTTGTAAAAGTTGTTTAAGTATATAGAACCCACTAGCAGAGCATGTTCTAATTCCTGTCACTTGTCACATATCTGCTCCACATCACTTCATTTATCTCTTTTTTTAATTTTGTTTTCTTATTTTTCGTTATTTTATTTTCATTTTTTAACTGTTTTACTATTAGAAGAATAGCTGAAGTTTTTTTGTAATTTTTGTTACTGGTGATGACTCCTCAATGAGAAATGTAAATTACTTTTTTTTTTAAATCGCAATTTAATTACTATGTGTAATTTCAGTTAAATGTTAAAATTAAAATGTTAAAACAAAACTTTCAGGTTCATTCAGTTCAGACAATGTAGAACCATTTTAAGATAAGCCGGTAATGAAGGCCAGGCTGGATAACCTTGTGGAGTGACGTAACTTTCTGTGAATGAGAAATTTACAGTTCTTGGAGGCCCAAAACAAAATGCAAAGTTTTTTCTTGCTCCCCCCCAGATTTTGAAACACGGACATACAGAAATGCAGTTTGTCAAAAAGTTAATGAGGCATAAAGTTTGGAGAGGATGTTCGACACTGAACAAATGCTGATTAGTTAACATTTAGTTCAAGTTAAGTTGCAGCAACAGTCAGAAAACTGTCCTAAAACCCCAAAATATCATTTAAGCACATTTGAAAAGTTTAGACAATAACTGCGTGGGCCAGTTTTCTTTATTTATTATTTTGTTTCACTCAAGTTTGACGTCTCCATTTTAGAAAGGTGGAGCCAAGTGAAAGGACCAACAACAGCAAAAAAAAGTACCAGAGCAGCCCATAGCACATAGCTTAGAGGCGTTTGTGGCTGCCTGTCGGTGACACCAATATGCTATTACACGTAGATGTGCGTTAGTTAGAGCTGTGATGAATATATCTCTCTCTGAAGGTGTAACTGGGACCTCAAGTCATGGGATGTGCTCGGTGATGTTTAAGTTATTTACACAGTTTATGCCCCGTATCGTGTTGGGTCCTTTTCCATGATCGCCGCCTCTTCTACATCAAGTTGTTATCACTCTCAGTGGGTTTACCTTTTCAGGTAACCAGTCAGTTTGCTAGTTAACTGGCTAGTTAGCTGGCAGACTGACTAGTTATCTTGTTTTTGCCAATGGGTTTTGTTGCTTTCCCTTTGAGTGCAGTACGTTGTAACTCCCACGTTGGCAGTGCCTTTAATTTGTTTATAATAAAGTCGCTGTTTTCTTTATCCTCCTGCCTCCTGCCTATTTATCCTGTGTTTTGGCCTCAGTCATCCTGCTCCTCTGAACATGGATTGTGCCAGTTTACTCTTACATCATCTGTAGTGAAACTCCAAGGGATGGGGGGTTATTGGAGATAAATATGATCAACTTGAAGGCTGTCTGCGCCGTTGTTAAGGGTTACAACCAAAATATCTGTCGGGTGATGCCTTAGGAAATGCTTTTAAATGATTTTGTTGAATATCTTGATTTTATTACACACATAAACGTAGACCTAGATTTACAGTTATGAAAGTGGAGCCAGTTTTTAATCTGTACAAGGCTCACACAGCACCAGCAAAACATGACCAGATGAATCTTCTCTTCTCCCGGACATATTATAGTTCATCCCTGTCTAGTCTTGAATATTGATCTTGGTGCTAATAGGCAGACAGTGGCTTTGGAGTAATGCCTGTGCAGGAGATAAGTATATCTGTCGACCACAAGAGAACCATTAATGGGCGGATGGACCGCTTGTGAGACAGTGAAAAGAGGAGGGTGGAAGCTCTGAAAATGTTTATCACTTTAGTGTTCAAGTTATTATGCTTACCTGTTCAGTTTGTAATGCGTTTTCTTGTCTACGGAACATCTAGATAAAAGAAGATGTAAAATAATTCTTAACAAGAGGCAAACTATGTTGGTGTTTGATCTAACCCACGGTTCAATCTTGGAAAGGCTTGATGGATGTAAATGTTGGCCACACGAAAAATCACACAAGCGTTCCTTCAGTAACATCCCCACCCAGTGGAGAACTGAGGTTAAACATTTACTTGCCTGTATTGTATTTTCATTTTCTGATTTTCTGAGGATCTAATAAGTATCTAATAATAAAAATGCTAATATTTCGATTTTTTCATACTCCACTGAAAATTACACTTGATTGTTGAACACAACATTAAAGGAAATAAGACAAACACAATTAGAAGGGTCTGAAAATAACCAATAAAAGTATATAGAAACCAAAAGATTAACCGGTTTGAAAATGCTTTTT